GTTGTGGTCACTGTCTAAGTTTCTAAAGATAAGATTCAGGGAACAGGTTGCCTCCCCCACCCCTTAGTTTATCATCTTGAGAACATTAGAAGAAGTACACAGAGCACACATCTGGGTTATAAAAGCCCTTTTATAAAGCCATTTTTAAACAAAACAAAACAAAAAAGTTTACAAAAGAAAAAAAAAAAAAAGATACAGAAAAAGAGTAATTTGCTTTATATGTCCCAAAAAGAGAAAAAAAATAAAGGGACAATGCCAACATGCTCAACAATAAAGGGTTCTTTTTCTTAATTTTTTTTTAATACAAAATACAAGCAAAGGATACACATACTTAAAGGAGAGCTCAGGAGCAGACACGCAGTCCTGGAAACCCTTCAATCAAAGCAATGCAGAAGTTTGTTTTGTTTTTCTTTTGTCTATGTTGATACATACAGAGACTGGGATATGTGAAAATTAATTATCACAAAGGACCATCACACAATTCTACCAATGCATGTTGCATCTATAATTTACGAACATGGTCAACAAAATCATGTTCACTTCAACCCCATTTAAATTAACAAAAAAACCCTTTTAAATAAAGTGGTTACATTCAAACCTTAACTTCCTTAGTACCATGCTGCAGATTCCAGCACTGTTAAAAGTATTGCAAGAATGCCCAACCCTCTGGTATCCGATCACCTATCTAGCAACATTACAGCATGAAGAATGGGACGCCCCGGTGTTAGCTTCTAGAGTAATTCATACATGTGAGCAGGTCCTCTCTTTTACTCTCCCTGCTCGAATGTAAAAGCTGAAGGACAAAACTGGGAATTCTAGAGCTGGCAAAAATGAAGTCTGAAATATGAATTTTCAAGGCAAACAATTTACTGAGAACTTGGCCAATGAGTAACCTGGCAAGTCTTCAAAGTCTTTCCTTAAATCTTGCAGGAATTAGGTGTAATCAGTTTGATGCAACATGTTCATGGTAAACAATCTAAGTAGAGCTCTTATTTACAAATTTTGTAACAAATACTTCTGGAGGGGGAAAAAATTCACTAATTTCCAGAAGACAAAGGTTTAATTGCCAGACATATACAAACACACACTCACACACACACATCCACACAATACTTCGGGGGTTTTATACGTTATTCAGGGCATAAACTGAGTACTATACCCCCACCCCATCAAAAAAAAGGAACCAAACAAAAGACCCCCAACTTTACCCTCCCCCCATAATCTAGAAAACCCTCCCTTTACCCCTGATGTACAAAGTGTATGCACAATGGTGGCACTCCACCAGCCACACAAAGCATGCTCAAACAGATGTCACCGGTTCAATCATTCCATTGGCATGGCAACAGGCAGGTTTATGGGATTTTCCCAATAGTGGTTAATACACAGTCAGCACCACTGTGGATTTTGTGAATTAGGCTTTGAGGATAAAAAAAGAGAGATGTGTAATTTCATGGATTTGGGACCCAAAATACACGTTCTATTATCTTAAAAGGAAATGGGTTGCAGATTGGAAACCTGGTGTCCCGATATTAAAACAATAAATTAACTGTTTTCAAGTAAACCCAGCTTCATCCACAGCGTAATGGACAATTTTCTACACCTCAAGAGCAACCAGCTTGTTATATTATCCCTACTCCTCAGCAGGAAGTGTGTATTACTCATTCTGTGTAAGTGTCTCAGTCTGAATGTCATGAAGACCAGAGCCTAGGTTTCTTCCATTTCCAAATTCCTAAGGTTATAGCATTTTCTTCTCAGTATAGCTACTGGAGAGGCAGGTTCAGGAAAAACTGCAAAGCTATGCTCATATTCTTTTGAACAGCAATGGCCACATGACCTTTCAGAAAGTTTTCCCCTGGTATTAAATTCTGGTCTTGTCGTCTTCCTATAATACTCTTAAAGAAAGGTATCTCCGAAATTGAAGCTGGTTTAGAGGAAATCATTATTCCCTTCTACAACCAGTACACTTAAAATGGACTTATTTGAATGCTCACGGAAAAATAGAACTGTGAAAAAAAGTGTCAAACTCAGTTCAGCTGACCATCTCACCAAGAGTGAAAAACCTCACTGGATTATAACTCCAAATCCCACTTTTGATTAGTTATAAGTAAGAAAATACTATCAAATCCATGCCAAAATAAGTATTCAACTGAGGACTGAACCTGGGGCAAATCATAAGGGAAAAGTCAGTATCAAAGTTCCTTCACGGAAAATCAACTACACTGTTCTTTAAGTTGAAAAGATTTTCACTCATCACCTCCCTAAAGAAAACACCGTTAGTGTCCTTTATGGGACCAGGATGAAAGTGAAGCTATGGAAGGGGTGGGATTTTGTTTTGTTTTAGAAACAGGGCAATCTACCATGTTTCTAAAATGAAAATTGTCCCTTGGGCCCGCACTGTTGATTCTAATTGGAGGTGGGGAGGGCTACAGCAGCAAGATACAAAAAAACATTTAATAAGATGTAAGCTATCCACTGTTGAGCATACTGAGAGAATCAGGGGTGGGGGCATGGGGGTATGGGTAGGGTGTCTTAAAAGTAGACTGTAGTGTCATCAAGTCAGCATAGCTGACAAATCTGTGTAATAGGTAAACCTAATAGACCTAACAGACAGAATTCAGATCACACACACAAGCACCTTCGAAATCCATGTCCCATTTTTCCTGAGCACTGCGAAACAAGACTGTGAGCACTGTGCCATGTCACCATAGGCACACTAGAAAGAAAAAGGACATTTAGTCAAGGGCGGTGCCAAGGGCCAGTCCTTATCAGCTTAGTTTGTAATGTATACTGGTATCACTAGCAAGCCTACTGAGCACCTGTTTCCAGTTGGGTCACCACAACTGACTTATTATTTACATGCAGTGATTTAAGGGGAAGACCAGATTATGTTTTAAATCATCAATATAAGTGTGTGTAGGGGGAGTCATTCAGAGCCTGCCATACCTGGGGACACAAGATCCTTTTGTCCAGTCTATGAGAAATATAGAATGAATTTTCAATCTAATGAAACTGTTTTTTTAAAAAGACACTTCAAACAAACAAACAAAAAGCCTGATTGAATGCAAACAAGCAAACTCGAAGACATAGTCAAGACATGAGCACCTCTAAACTATGTGTGTATAAGCACAGCCAGAGATGTTAGTACAGATGGATCCCATCCAAAGGAACCTGTGTTACACAAAGCATTGAGGTTCAAGTTTGAAAAGACAATTCCTCTAGTCTTCACAAAATGTAATCTAAGAAAAACCCAAATGTTACTAGGAAAGTTAAGACTGTTATTAAACCCCTAAAAACACAAGTGCAAGGTGGAAACACTGATAGGTCTTTTGTTAAATGATCACAAACCTTGTTAAAAATGGGTAATTGGCAATTCCACTCAAGCAAATCATCTTTAACCCCCTCACTATAAAGTCCTTAACAATTTATCTGTCATGTAAAATAATCCAACTGCTATTGTATGTCCAAGTCTTGCATTTTTGGCCTTGTACTTAAAAATTCCAAACTCATTCTTAATACATACAATGCAACAGTAAAACGACTCTCAGCCAGTAGGCATTTAAAAAAATGTTCCTTGAATATAACCTTTTGTCTTAAAACACCTGTAAGAAAGCCACAAAAAAAAGCTTAATTTAAAAGCAGAATTTTGAGGAAGCAAATCCAATATAAAGGCATGAGAAAGAGGTTTAATTTCATGATCTCTCGATTTTAAACCTACAAATCTATCTCTTGAATGTTTTTACATAAGACATATAAGAAGTATATTATCATCTGCACATACAGGACTCGTGAATGCATGGGATTTCCAGCTCTGCTGAGCCCCAAACTCCTGCTTTAAGCAACATAGGTAGAAAGCAGGGGATCAAGTAGAAAGACAAGAGCAAATTCTGTCAATGGGGAGTGGCATTATCATATACCCCAATCCAGAACAGGATATGAAAGAAATTAAGACTAGAGCCAGGAAAAAGAGTATCTTAGAAGAGAGCTGGTAGACACGGGGGGTGGAGTGTGCTGTGGTGACCCTATGTTATAGCAGGATGCTGAGAGACGCATTTATAGTAGGTTTCTACAAAGAAATGGGAAGGTAGGGTATGGAAAGGAAAACATTCTGTCCTCAAAAACAGCATGGATCATGGGATTTGAATGCATATTGATGACATAAGAGAATATAAACTCTCTGTTCTCACAAAGGAAAAAGCTCAACTCTTGTCATTGAGTTTCACATTAATTGGTACTTTATTTGCTTTAAACCTAGACAACATTGTCAGTTTGAGAAAAATTCACTGTGATATATAGATTGATCTTGTCATTTAAATTCTAGGGTTTTTTAAATCTTTTTTTTTTCTCCCCCAGGGGTAGGAGTGGAAAGGGAAATATACTTGGAAAAGTTTATCCAAGAAACAGAACAGATACACATATATTTTTAAAAACATGAACAAACCATTAGAGAATGAGATCTGAAATCAAGAGTGATTTCAGTTTTGGCAGCCCCTGCCTTTTTCTTTCTTTTTTTTTTTTTTAATGTAAGCTTCTTAAAGACTGCAGCAGGATAAAGGATCACTGGCTCTCATCTCAGAAATAACAAGTGATGAATAAAAAAGAAAACTTACCCCGCCACAAGGCCTGGCAATTCTGTTTTCCACACCCTCCCCCAAGATAAAAATATGAATACTTTACATAACAACTCAGAATTGGTCTTCTTCATCTCCTACCTGCCTCTTATCAGTGGAAGTTTAAATTCATGATTTAAAAAAAGACATTGAAGCTCATGTATATAGATTATAAAAGCTTGTATAAGAGGACAATTTTTTTTTTTTTTTAAAGTACAGGCAGGGAAAGAAGCTATCATTTTTAATTAAAACCTTTCTGCACTTTCTGATTACTGTTCAACTTGTTATTATTTAGCAAAAAGCAAAATGTTTATAGTGTTCATCTTAAATCTTATTGCTCTACCACTGTAGTATGCCTTCCATTAAAAATAAAGAGATGGAGCGGTCAATCTGGTGATTCATTTGGCATGGCTTTCATTGGAGACTGGGGGTGGGGTAGGGAGTAGGTGGCAAGAGAAGAGGACATCCAAAAAGTAACTTACACATACAATGGTTTTCTTTAAAAAAAAAAACAAAGAGAGAGAGAGAGAGAGAAAATGTTATCTTCAACAAATAGAAACAAGCATTCAAAGCCCATCTTTCAAGCCATAGCCAAACCATGTTCTATCTTAAGGAAGTTCTCCTCTTTCTTTGTTAATAAAATCTCTCCCCAAACCATCATCACTTTTAATCATCCCCAGACTGGGCTTCATCTTCAGACCCTTCATCCCCAGATTTTTCTTGTGGAGGGCTGGCAGATGTTTTCTTTTCTGGAGGGCTTTCTGGTTCCTCATCGTCTTCTTTGGGGGAAGGAGTCTTTTCCTTTGATGCCTTTGAAGCTGTGGGACGACCCACTTTCCCTTTGCCTTTCACTGGACTTGGCGTCACTGAAAGAAAAATACCAATTTGAGAAAGGGAGGAGAAAACACAGTCTTAAATATAATCTATAAAGACAAAAATGCCAATTTGTTAAAAACCAAGGTGGGTACCAAGCAACACATATATCCATAAAAATCTCTTTCAAATGTGAAACCAGCCACAATAAATTATTACAAGATGTTGTATATAGTGGTTCCTTTCTTTTCTAACTAACAATAATTATAGTAATAATGCTTATAATGGGAGTTCCTGGGTGGTTCAAGTAAGTGGTCAACATGATGCTACAAAAACAGCACATTATCCTTAGTGCCTTGTGAAACAATTTATTTATGAACAAAGTTGTTTATATTTTAAAAAACAGGTAAAAAAGAATAAAAGACACAACTTAACCTGATTAGAAACTAAAGTCTCTAAATAACTTTTGGTAGTTCTATCATCCCCCAGAGTAAGAAGAAGTGATGAATAAAAGCAGTAATAATTACCTTTTCTATTAGCCTGAAGAAAACAGCATTTTCAAAAAGAAAATCCAGACTTGTGATTCCTTAACAAGCTAGTTCTGACAAGGAGTCCTGGTGTGACACTGTAGGATAATGCACTGGACCACAAGGTCGGTTTGAACTGCAAGGTTGGTGGTTCAAACTTATCAGCTGCTACTTGGAAACTCTATACAGGGTAGTTATGAGTTGGAACCAACTCAACACTTAACAAGAATTTCTGATGAGAATATCTGGCAGAAACCACAAAGGCTCAAGAAAAACAAACCTTTCATTCTCAAGGCAGAGGAGCTGGGGGCGGGGAACAGAACCTAGAATTTAAATGTGGGATTAATGTGGATTAGTATATCTTTCACCATCTCGAGCACTTACTAGCTGATAGAGTTTGAGCCAGAGAGACTGGTAGGAAAGAAGCCAGCAAAATTATACTGACAGAGTTTTCTCTACCACTGTGCCAAGCACAAACGAGGATTCCCCCAATACTGTGTGTGTACAGCAGTAGCTGACGAATCCAGGTACGCCAGAGTCCCTTATTTTAGTAAAAACAATCTATGAATTGGCTTCTCCTAAGCATAAAAATAAAACCCTGTTGAAGGGAAGTCAGACCAGTTTTATTTGGTAATAAAGCCTAACTCTTTCTTCTAAATCTATCAATGTTGATACTTCTAGGGACAGACGACAAGATAATTTCATGTGGAATTTTCCACCCCCGCTAAGTTTAAAGAATAATAAAGAATTACTCTTTAATAAAGAATTTCTGGAGTTTTATTGGTTCTTAAGATTTATTAAAGTAGTATTTTGATATCATTTCTTTAGAACTCACCTGTTGCCTTTAGCCTGGGTTTGGGCATTTTCTTTTCTTTTCGCTCAGGTTTGGATTTCTTAACCATCTTTTTGTTTTTCTTTTTTGAACTGCCATAGTCACTGTCATCATCGTCTTCCATTAGGAAGTCTTCATCACTGCCAGAATCTTCTAAAGGGAAAAAAGAAATTCAAAGTCTGACCTAATGTGCACATTCTTCCATGCGAACAAAGGGGAGAGTGCTAAGAAGGATCAAAGGACTGAATTTAGGAATTACATTTGGGAATTAAATAATTGCAGCTATACTAACTATTTGGTTGGAGTTGTGACTGGTCTTACCTACAAAGTGAGTTTAGCATTCACCTCACAGGAAGGTTACAAGACTTATTTGAAAACCAAGTCAGAAATAGGAAGGGAGAAGGAAGGCGGTGGTAAAGCACCCTGATGCACTGTGATTCAAGTACTCAGTTGTTAACTGAAAGGTCAAGCAGTTCAAGCCCACCAACTGCTCCAGAGAGGAAGATGTGGCCACCTGCTCCTGTAAACATTTATAGCCTTGGAAACCCAATGGGGCAGTTCTACTCTGTCCTATAGTATTTCTAAGAGTATGACTCAAGAGTAACAAGTTTAAGGAAAAGGCATCTGAATAAAAACCAAAGTCATAAATAACCTTTGGTAGTTCCACAATTCCCATGTAATATCAAAAAAACGTAACAAGAAAACTACAGAAAAAACAAATCACTAAATCAGTAACCTAATAAAACCAAGTAACCCGTAAAACACCTAAAGTCTGTTATGAATATTTTTTAGGGGTTGGGGAGGTCTATACTCCTTCCCTCAGATGAAAATACAGATAGTTAACACTTTAGTTAACATTCATATATATAACAGTTAGTGCAACAATTGTCATTTGATAATTGAATACAAATGATGTACCAAAAAATAAAGAGTATAACCATTAACAAATGCTGTTAATTAAGCGCTGTCGAGTTATGGTGACCCCGTGTAGGATATCCAAGGAGCAGCTGATGGGTTTGAACCTCTGACCATGTGGTTAATAGTCCCATGCTTATCCTACAGCGCCATACTATGAGATTCTTGAAAGTTTAAAAATATTTTAACATTATCAACAGATTCTAATAAGAAGTAACAACCTAAAATTTAAGGGCTGTTTATAACATTTGTTGTTGTTGTTATGTGCCGTGGAGTTGGTACCGACTCATAGCGACCCTGTACAGGGTTTCCGAAGCTGTAAATGTTTACGAAAGCAGAAAGCCTCATCATTCTCCTGTGAAATAGCTGGTAGTTTTGAACTGCTGACCTTGTGTTTCACAGCCCAATTCATAACCACAACGCTACCAGAGCTCCTTAGTTATAACATTTAGCACCCTAAAACACATTAAAGTAATCAGGGTCAGAAACTACAACCTCAACCAAAGGACAAAAGCCAATTTTACATACTTTCTTGGAATGGTGCCTCATCCTCCTCTTCTTGTTCTTCCTCACTGCCCACATCTTCCAAAAGCATTTCTCTCTGCTTAGAAGCTGCTTTAGAAGCTGCCTGTCGCTGCTGACGTACATTTTTATGATCTTCTTTTTCATCTTCACTATCATCTGCAACAACAAAATCATTCAATGATCAGAGTTCAGCATTTATTTGATAGCAGAGGGGGAAACCCAACACATAGCGGCTAATATGGAATACATGCAGTCTTATTTCATTCAAAAGGATAAATTTGAGCCTTCAAAAAAAATTCCACAAAAACATACAAAAAAAGAGCTATAACATCCACAAATAATGAACTGGAATAAGACTATGTACCCACCATTATTACATATAAAATAACTCAGGCAAGTAAGTATTTTTAGGCAAGTAGTTTTGAGTAATAATAAAGCTGAATTCAGGTGTATACACATGCTTCCTAAAACATACTCAACACGGCCCTAAAATTCTCAATTACATTCAAATCTGTGTTAATTGTTTCCTAGAGTTAAAAGTTATAAAAATATTTTTATCTGAATACAGGAGAGTAAGAAATGTTTTCCAATGAACTTTCTTCTAAGATACAAGCAAAAGGTAAATTAGCATGCAAATCCTAAATACCACTACTATCTTTTTCAGTGGATGGGGTATGCCACTTCAATTTACAGGATTTAGAAAAATCTTTAAACCATGTATTTAGATAATTTTGCAAAAGACCATAATACAAGTTCATTAATAAAAAATTACTTTCAGAGATTATAGTCTACTAAATAAAAAAAATTTCAGCTCAGTCATGTTTGTGAATTAATCTGATTAAAGAACAGGTTACTGGCCGACATCAAGGTATTATCTTTATCAGTTTCTACCTACAGCCCTAGACTTTGAGCCTCCTTATTGCTAGAGTGCAGTAACTGTTACTTTTCTGAAAATCCTTGCTCCAGTCAGTTCTCATGTCATCACTTTCACTGTCAAAAACCTCCTAGAGAGGACAGATAGAAAAAGGAAACGAGGTTGACCTTGGCAGACCCCAAACTAAACTCACATAGTAGGAGATGTGCTTAACACTAGAGTACAGTTATTCACTGTACAGTGCTCTCAATAAACTAACTAATAGAAGAGTTTCAAATTAGGGTCCACAAAGCAGATGAGTATCATGTAACACAACAGGTTCATGTGCAAAATACGTCAGTGGAATGAATTTAGTGGAAGCTTGTCTATTTTTCACATATTAGCCAAACAGCAGTTTCATTTAAAGGGTGATCGGGAATGTAACAGAGCAGGAGAGAATACAGGTCAAAACTACAGTGGCTGGGAATAGTGTGAAATAAATTCCCAATTTGAGAAAGCAAATTTTAAAATAAATACCAGCAGTAAGTAAAGTCATCAGAACATCAGAACTTAACATTTTCATTTTGACATGGGGACTGTTATTTACATTTACTCTTCTAGTTAAAATTCGTACAACAAAAGCTTTCTCTGAGGCCAGTTTCAAAGGACTACTTCAGAGGTTAAGAGTAGGTGATGAAAGAAAACTGTTTGCTTTTTTATCCAAAATTGATCACTCCTTTTTATTATTTTTTAAAAATTTTTTGTAAATTGAATGATGGGCAAACAAGATGATCAGTTTCACATTCAACAAATCATACTTTTTATTTGATCTCATTGACTGTAATCCCCTCCATGAAACAACAGTTACCCACTTCTTTCCTGCGGTTCCTATTTCCATTCTATCTACTTTCCCCCATTCCCTCTCAACTTTGTCCTTGGGTAAACGTTGCCCTATTGATTTTGAATGACTGACCATTTCACGATGAGCATATCTTATTAGTGTTGCTGTCCCCACTATGTACCCATCTACTACTACGTGGCTGAAAATTGACCACAAGGGTGTATTCCTTTCCAGATCTGAAGGGTGGTCAAGGGCCATAGTCTTCGGTTCCTCCAGTCTCGTTCTGACCAGTAAGCCCGGTATTTAAAAAAAAAAAAAAAAATTTTGACTTTTGTCCCACATTTTCTACCACTCTATCTGGGAACTTCTAATGTGACCACCATTTTCAGAGCAGTTGGTAGTGGCAGATGGGTAACATCTCAATCTTCTGATCTCAGAGGTGTGGATACTAGAGTTCATGTGTTATATTAGTTCACTGGACTAACTGATTCCAAGTTATTTCAATTCTTACCACTCTTCTTTCTTCTGTACTTAAGAGACCAAAAGTTGTACCTTAGACGGCTGTTCATGAGCTTTTGAGATTCCAGATGCTATTTACCAAAGTAGGATGTAGAACATTGTCTATGTGGACTATGATGTGCCAACTGACCATGGTGTCCTGGTGTCCCCTGAGACTACCATCCTGAGCACCCAGGGGCAGCAACTCATTGCCTTAAGATGTTAGATTATACTTAAGTTTTCATCATTTTACCCACCGTATGCTCCACCACATTCACAAGCTGTGTTTGCCTCAAAGGTAAAATCCATGTTTGTTGTTATTAAGTGCCATTGAGTTGATTCTGAACTATATAGACCCTGTATAGGGTTTCCAAGGAACAGCTGGTGAGCTTGAACTGCTTACCTTGCAGTTCAAATCGCTTTGCAGTCTGGCGCATTAACCCACAGCGCCACAACCAGGACTCCAAAATCCATGTACACTATTCTTTTTCAAACACTGACATATCTGTGGGTGGATCAATTCTGCTTTAAACCTCCTATTTTACATACTTCAAGGTGCAAGGCTAAGCATTCGGCTTTTAAAATGAAAGGTCAGTGGTTTAAATCTGCTCCAGTGCAAAGCTTTCAGCTTAGGAAATCTTATGGGCAGTTTCACTTTGTCTTTTAGGGCTGCTGTAAGTTGGAATTTACTCCACAGTACACCGTAACAAAGACATTATTTCTATTATTCTATTTAGCTTGATGTCTGTTGTTCATCTTCTGAATTACAACTATCCATGAGAATTGGAGTCCTGGTGTGGTGCTGTGGGTTAATGAGCTGGATTGCAAAGTCAGTTTGAACCACGAGGTTGGTGGTTCAAGTTCACCAGTTGCTCCTTGGAAACCCTATACAGGGTCACTATGGGTTGGAACTGCCTCTATGGTACTTAACAACAACATCCATCAGAATTACCAGTAGAAGTTTTTAAAAACAAAGTTCCCAAGTCTCACCAAGACCTACTGAATCAGGAAAACCAGGGCAGAAAATGTCCAGTTGACCCTTGAACAATACAGGCTTGAACTGTAACTGGTCCACTATTTTTTCCTGTTGTTACTGTGGTGAGTTCAAGTGTTGTGAGTATCTACTTAAAACGTGTTGCTCCAGAGTTAATTCTATTTTTAAAAATGACTCATAGATGACTGTAATAGTCACCAGGAGCTCACTTGTAAGTAAGCTCTTTGAAGATAGAGACATTTTTATAATCTCAGTATTGTTAATAGCGCTTGGTATGTAAAGCCTACTTATTAGAATGTCTAATAAAACAAAATATTATCTATTCCATTAAATATAATCTACTACCTGCTGAGTGAGAGTCATCCTTCTTGGTCTTCACATCTTTTTCTTCCGAGTCCTCACTATAAGGGGAAAAAAATAAATGCTTAAAGAGTCTTAGATCTAAACCTAAAGATCTTTGGTATCTGACTTGAAAACACTGAAGAATATCTCTTTTCTACATTAAATGTTCAAATAGATGCTAAGAAAAGAATCACTTCTATTTATTCCCCACCTTGAAACAGCACACATTTATCTTTAGAAAATAAAGACCCAAAGGAGTAAAAAAAACATCTATCAAAAAAGGCTGAAAATTTCTCACCTACAAATAAGACTTGGTTCACAAATATATTTAATATGAAAAAATATTCTCTGTGGACAGAGACAGACAAAAAAATAAGTTACATAAAGTGAATGTGTTCATGGTGGTGAAATGAAAAAATAATTGGGGCTACCTTGCTATACAGATGCAAGATAGACCTAAAATATATTATAATAGTTTAATAAGGGAAGCGGCGTTCATTTAGGTAACTGACAATATTCTGAAAAATTTACCTAGAGAAAAACTAATGCAAGTAATTATCACCTAGTATTTTTTCGCTTCCAGCACTTTCTTGCATCAGAAATGATACTTATTTGCCTTGTATCAGAGAGAAAATGAGCCCAACACCACTCTGTAAAATAAAATCAGTCAAGGGACTTCAAAGATTTCACTGAAAATCATTTTTAAAAACAATCTGTTAAAGTCACAGAGATAAACAATTTATGTCCTTATAAATCTTAACCCAGGAATGTAGGTCCTAATGTCCTGTCTTTTATCATAGTTATATGATCTTAGGTCACTCACTAAGTGTTCTTCAGGGTTAAATTTCATAAGAAATTTTCACGAACAAAAATCTAGGCTAGATGAAATGACACTGATGAAACATTATACCAGGACACAAAGACACTTATTCCCAGGAGGACTGTAATAAATGACTAACTACTAAAATGAAAGACAGTTCTGATCCATCTAAAACTGGGTAAGGTACATACTAAGTTCTAAGAGACTTGTGGCCCCACAGTATAACTTTATCTTTTTCTCAAAAGCACATTTCTGAAATTCTTAGGCAAAGAAAATAGTTGAGGTTAGCAATAACAAACAGAAAATGCTAAGTAAATGTAGATCTTTAAATATTATTCTAAGAACTTAGCGCCCTTTGAACTCAGAAAGGAAAGTCTTCTGCCTGGAGCTATACAGGTATAGTGCGAATTCTAATAACTCCAAGGTATGATGCTGTGGGTTAATGTGTTGGACTGCAAGGTCAGTTTGAACCACAAAGTTAGCGGTTCAAGTCCACCCGCCGCTCCCTGGAACGCCTATACAGGGTTGCTATAAGTTGGAACTGATTTGAAGGCACTTAGCAACAAGGTAAATACTTCAGGAGAACTTTTTTTCATTGACCCTCCACTTTACCAAATATGTTGTCCTTTCTCCAGGGACTAGTCTCTCCTCATAACAAATCCAAAGTATGAGCAATGACATCTCGCCAGTTAAACGACTGTTTAAGCCAGCCAGCTGTTGTTGTTAAGTGCCGTCGAGTCAATTCCGACCCATAGCAACACTTTATAAGGTTTCCAAGGAGCCGCTGGTGAGCTTGAACAGCCAACCTTGCAGTTCATTTGACTTTGCAGTCTGACGTATTAGCCCACAGCGCCACACCAAGACAGTTCATATAGAGTACATACTAGAGATGTGTAAAGACTCATCCAGATGGTGGGTATCATGATCCCCTCCACCAAGTCTAGAAGTTAGGCAGCACTGAGTCTGACTCTCTGAATATGTTTCCTTTCATAGCAGAGGCAGAAGCCTAGTCTCATGAGCAAAACTAATTAAAATTATGATTTGGCTAAAGTTATTTGTAAAGTAAAGGGAAAAAAAAGGGTCCTCAAATTATTAAATTATTTAAACAAAAGAGGAATGATTAGAAGACGGTAAACTCAGGTTCTACAAATATTAGGTATGATTTAGCCAATGATTTGTGACTAAATAGGATAGGCCATTTATTCTTTGCTATCAATACAATAAAAACATCAATACTAACATTAAGTGGCAAATTACATACTTAACCTTTCTGTCTATGTCCAGAGGCTTAAGACAGAAGCAAAGGAATTTGTGAAGACCTTGAATTCCAGGGTTGACTACAAGCAAGCCTCAAGACCTAAAAGAACTATATCTCTAGATTCAGATGCACTCCTCAGATCATACGAAATGTGAGCAACAATGCTGTGTGAAAAACAAACACTTCCCAAAAGCAGACTGAGAGTCCATCAGAGTCCTGGGAGTGTAAACAAGAACAGAAAACCAGTGTCTCATACCTGTCTTCCTGTGAATTCTTTCCAGACCGCCTCTTATTTTTAGCTTCTCGAGGAGATGATCGCATTTTCTTAGCTGGAGGACCCGAATCTCTTCCATAGTCTTCATCTAAACAAATCATGTTTCAAATTCACTTAACTTTATATTATGAATTTTACATGTCAACAGTACTACTGTATTTATGAGGTAAGTATCTTTCATGCTAATTTAAGTGGTATGGGAAGCAGGACTCCCCAAATAGTTTTTTTCTATTTTTAAATTCTTTTCCACCCTATCACCTTACTGTAATGACTTCCATTTTTGCCTACCACCCTCATGTTCTCATGTACATAATTTTAATGTACTTTTAGGGTAAAAGGCCTACTTTTATCCTAAATAAGGTGGCCTTTCTCCTTAGCTCTGGAGAAGTGATCTCCTTGGAGTAAATAGAGTGACTTAGCCTAGGAATTCCTTACCACACCTGAGAAGTTATACTGGGCCAATTAGACCAGAAGAAACTGGAAGCGTAATTTAGCCCTAAATACAGAAGCTCAATGAGTTTGCATTAAAGTCATGGGACTGGGTAGAAAAGAATTTAAAAATACAAAAGAAAACTATTTGCCCTTCTCACTACTTAAATTAGCGTGAAATATAATGATCTCACAAATAACAGTAGTAATTTTTACATGTAAAATTTATAATATAATCTTAAGTGGATATAATCTAAAGTTAATGAGAACATCCACTCTTGTAAACTAGCATGATCCTTGGGACATGGAAGGCGTTGAGTTGGAAATCCTCCCAGACCTTGCCCTCTGTATCTGTTCACGTGTATCCTTTAGGCTGTAACAAACCTGCAGTCCTAAGTATGGTATATTCGCTTAAAAGTCCTGTGGGAGTTCTGAGAGTTGCTCTAATGAATTATCAAATAGGGAAGTAGAAGCGAGCAAGTCAGAAAGTAAGGAAGTCATGGGGCTTCCTGAGCATGTGGCTGACATCCTAAAGGGGCAGTGGGAAGCCACACTGTATTTTTGGCCAACAAGTCAAAAGGTTGGGGTGTCCTGTGAACTTTCCAAACTTGTTGCTGGTATCTGCTTATTTGGCAGTCTGAAGGACATGGTCCTTTTAACTTGGGAGTTTTAACCTAGTGTTGAGTGACTAGAGTCAAAGAGGGGTAAGTGTTATAGGAGCAACAAATGATGAAGGGAATAAGAGAAAGATTGGAACAACTTCCACACTTGGAAGATTATTACATTCATGCTGATTCTTACCATGCAGCATCTACAGCCAAATAGCTCTATCATTTTAATTTATTAACGATCTCCCGTGTTTTGATATCCTCACAATTCTACAACCCTAGCCCCATTACTGTTATCAAATAAATGACATTTCACCTAAGTCTTACAGTGTGTACTCTGATATTTGAAGAAATCCCTATAAATACTAAAGAAAATTACTGAACTCTGAAAAGTGAGTATTTAAAAAATTACTTCCTACATCATTACATATACTATTAAGAAGCTGGAAGTAGTCTGGATATTTAACAATTACTGAATGGTTAGATACTGTAGAAATCCCCCAGTGCAACATCATACAACCATTAATAGGAATTTTTAATAACAGGATGAGTGGTTCTATGTAAGGGGAAGATTACAAAATGTTATGGAAGACCTCATCTATATTTTTAAAAGGAAAATAAAGATAAAAGGCTTGTAGTTAATAACAAAAAACATGAAAATGACCATTTGCTGGCTAAGGGACCTTGAGTAGTATCTCTGCCTTAGTTTCCTTACCTATAAAATGAAAATGGTAACACATCCCATTGTTACACAGGATTGCTATAAGGAGTAAATGAGTAAACACTTGGATTTAGAATAATTTCTGGCTGTAGCAAGAATTTAATAAATGTCAGTATTACTTCTGGGAAGTAGGATTATATATTATTACTCATGCTCGTATCTTCTAAGTTTTTCCAAAGAACACATACTATTTCTATATAGTTAAGTTTGATTTAAAAGAAAAAAAAAATTGCACCTGGAAAATAATGAGATTAAAAACACACACAATCCTTTCTTTGTGTGGCTGACTTTAAGATATGTTATTCATTTTTTTGTAAATCAGTCACAAATCAATGTTGTTTCACACAGTAAGAGTCTCATCTTACTTTACGACACAAAAACTTAAATAACCACCATTACAAGTTAAAACTTTACTTTGATTATACCAGGAAAGAACTATTTTAAGTAACAAACACTATTATCTGAACTAATGGATATTTAAAGTTTGGACTTTGATACCAGTTAAGAAAAAACGTATCCAATTATTTATTTTCAACAATTTACCAAGGAAAAATTTATTCAGGTAAATTTAACTTTTGTTCTGGTTGACATAGATCTTGACGTAATTTGTATACATAAATGCTTTAAAATAAAATTTATTCTGAAAGCATAATTTTTTTTTAAATGCTGGAGATTCTCCACTAGTTAGTACAACTCACAATTGAAATCACAAAACTTACCAGCATCATCAGATTCCTGAAACTGTGAATAATCAACGACCTTCCTATTTCTGTTGAAAGAGAAACTCTAATTAATCAAGATAATAAGAATGTTGACCTTCTAAGATATTAAAAATATGTAACCTTCTTGTTCATAAACAAAATTACTAACTAGCTCTCTGAAAAGCAGTGTACCAACAGCTACCAGTACCCTGGCCAAAATACTTTATCAGCAACCACATGGCAAATGGTCCTTTATGATTCTTTAAACCCATAATCTAATAAATGAGAAAAAATTAATTACAATGCTAACACTGTAAATTATTTTATTACAGGAAGTTCAACTTAACCCAAAGGTCCTCCAAGCTATTATTCTCACATTATATGAGACTATATTATATTCTCAATAGCTCAGTGGTATTGCTCATTTTCCCACTCAAAATAATCTCTCAGCCTAAAGCACATGTACATAAACAGCAAAATGAATAAAATCACCAAATATATTCTTTCTTTCTTGTGGGGGATGGATAGGAGTAGGAGTTAGGACTAGGTCTAGGGTTTCGTGTAGTGCTAAGAATTATGGCTAAAAATATATAAGCGTTATGGTTAGGACTAGGATTAGCATTAGTAGTAGGGCCTTGGTCTGGTTTAGAGTTAGAGTCAGGTTTATTATTTTTTTCTTAAAATTTGATTTCCTCTTCATTTGGAAGTTCTATAACTATACTATTCCTTCTTTTTACTTGGTGGATTTTTTTGTTGTTAAAGTTGCAAATGAATTGATTCCTTATTTCTACACTTGTAGATCATGTTTTATTTTGGACACTTCTGGTGTGGGGCTATAGGATAAGCACTGGACTGCTAACTGCAAGGTCAATGGTTCAAACTCTCCAGCTGCTCCTCAGAAATCCTATACAAACAAGGCCACTAAGAATTGGAACCGACTCAAAGGCACTTCACAACAACAACATCTGGGTTGAGTACTGGGTGATGTTTTCATGTATGTTAATCCCAGATTGTTGTCTGCTGTTGCTGGTCCTCTGTCCAAAGAACTCCCTTCAGTATTCTTTGTAAGGTTTTAGCAATTTTAAAAAAATTTCTGTTCATCTAGAAATGCCCTAGTTTCACAGTCATTTTTGAAGGGCAATTTTGCAGGATATATGGTTACTGGTTAGTAATTTTTTCTTTCAGAATTTTATATCTATTTGTGCCATTGTCTTCTTGCCCTCATAGCTTCTGCTGGAAATAGCTTAGTCTTACTAGATTTCTTTTGTTGGTAACTTCGTTTTCCCAAGTTCCTCTCAGGATTCTTTTGGTTTTGGACAGTTTGATTAAAACAGGTCATGGTGATTTTCTTTTGGGGTCTACGCAGCTTGGAGTTCATTCAGCTTTCTGAACGTGCACCTGTCTCATCTTTCATTGTTCTACAAGAGTTTTATTCCAACAATTCTTTGACAATTTTCTTTATAATACACAAAGATATCACATTACATGAACACAAGCCAAAAGTGAAAAGTAATTTCTAACTGCTATCTATGCATATTTACACCCGATATAACAAGACTTTTAAGTTTTCTTTATGACAAAAGGAAACTTTAAATAGAGTATGTTGCTGTTCATAAGTGCCATTAAGTTTGTTCTAACGCATAGTGGGTCTGTATTGGGTTTCTAAGGAGTGGTTGGTGGGTTTGAACTACTGACCTTGCACTTAGCAGTTCAGTGTTTATACTACAGCTCCACACCATAATTGACAGTAAGTCCCTAAGTGATACAAAAGTTAATGTGTTTAGCTGCTAATCAAAAGGAAATTCAAGGCCATTGAGAGGCAGCAGGGAAATAAGCCTAGGTGATCTACTTCTGATAAACCAGAATGGAAAACTCGTATTTCTATTGTTGCTAGGTTGCCATCAAGTGGATCTTATGCTCAACAGAACCCAACACTGCCTGATCCTGCGCCATCCTCACAATTGTTGCTAAGCTTGAGTCCACTGTTGCTACCACTGTGTCAATCCATCTAGTTGGGGAATCTTTCTCTTTTTCACTGATCCTTACTTTACCTAGCATGATGTTCCTCTCCAGAGATTAGTCCCTCCTGATAATATGTTCAAAGTTTGAGAGTTGAAGTATTGCCCCTCTGGCTTCTAAGGGACATTGTGGCTGCATTTCTTTCAACAGATTTGTTTGTTCTTTTAGCAGTCCATGATACTTAAAGTATTCTTCTCCAATACCGTAACTCAAATGCATTGATTTTCCTAAGGTCTTCTTTATTCACTGTCCAACTTTCACATGCACATGGACACCAAAAGTACCTTGGAAAGGCGCACTTTAGTCCTCAAACTGACATTTTAGTTCTTGAACACTTTAAAGAGGTCTTGTGCAGCAGATTTGCCTAATGCAAATATGTCATTTGATTTCTCATCTGCTGCTTTCATGAATGTTGATAATGGATACTGATGCAAAATTAAGTTTTTGACAATTTTAATCTTGTCTCCCCTTTTATCAAGATTATTCAGTGGTGAGAATTTCTGTTTTCTTCACATTGAGGTATAATAGAAACTGAAGGCTGTGGTCTTTGATCTTCACAATAAATATTTTAAGTCCTCATCGCTTTCAGCAGGAAACGTTGTATCATCTGCATATTACAGTTTGTTACTGAGTCTTCCTCCTATTCTGATGCTATATATCCATATAATCCAGCTTCTTTATATAAACCAGCTTCTCAGATTATTTGCTCAGTGTACATCTAATTTTTATTTTTTTCCCAACAGAATGTGTTTATATTTCATACAGCACTTCTCATTACGGGAGTGTTAATCAGTTCATCTATATAGAGGTTTTCTTTTTCTTTTTGTAAAAACAATGTATCTTTTCTCCATTTCAATATTCTATATAAAGTTTTGTAACATCAAATTATTTTCCCATCTCAATATTAGATACATTGAATACATTTTTCAAAACTTACTTTTCCCCAAAGAAATGAAGCTTTCCATTTTGACACACCACACTTGATACATAAGTACAATATTAATTTGCATATAACAATGTACAATTCAATAAATGATGGCGAAAACTCCTCAGTGATTCAGGAGGCAGCAATTATAACCAAACAATGGTGATTTCCCAGGATGCTGCACGTGGGATTCCTTCTTCCTACAGCATGAGCTTCTAGAGTTCTAATGCCAGTTTCAGTCGTCTTGTTGCCTTCACTTTCTTTCTAGTCATCAAATACAAACTATAGTTCTGACTTTCCAGTACATTTTTAAAGCAAAAAGAGCATTTCCTCCCTTTTGACATATATTAATGTGTTCCCATTTAGAGAGAAACATCTAAAAGGTGTAATGACTCTATTTACAATTTGTTTCTTGGGAACTTTCAGACATGACTCAGTTTTAACTTCAATAGTAAAAAGGGTTTCAGGGTAAGGTCTAATTCAGGAGGGCCTTCAGAGTCACATCTGTCCATTTCTCTTTCGTGCATAAACCCCTAAACAGGCACAAATGCCTGTGACACTAAGAACCACACCTAACAAGAGAGCAATTGCATCTCCTGCTTTAACAGGCAGCACCAAAAGCAAAGAAATCAAGACTAACGGCAATTGTGTTGAAGCTGAAGTCATGATGCTGGATTCTCAAGGTGAATGGATCTTGAGGGTTGATGGTTCCAAAATAAAAGGGGTGGTATATAGAAGTCTACCTGATTTTAAAATTCTCCGTTGTTGGAGCTCCAGATGCTGAGTTAAGAGGTTCATGCAACAACGCCTTCCACGAAGCAGCCATTACAGGAATCCTCTAATTTTTTTTAACCTTTCCTAATTTTAAACCATTCAGAGTCCCCTTGTTTTGTTCAAACACCTGCCTTTTTTTAAAAAAAAAAAACTTTTAGGAAGATATCATTCATGTAACTTTATTTTATTATTATTTTTTAAAGTTTTTATTGTAAATTGAGTGATAGTTTACATGGGAGAACACATCAGTTTTACACTCATCATATCGTATTTCATTTCACTGCAATGAATACAGTCCTCTCCGTGCATCATCATTCAACAGTATTTGCTTCTATTCCCTCAGTTTTTTTTTGGTTTTTTTTTATGTACACAAAACCACTCAGGAATATGTAATCATTTAAACAACCAAAGGGCACATTCTGCAAGCCTGCCAGCACATAGCCTTTCTCTTTCCATTGAGTCTAGAGTCCTCATCTCTAGTGTCTCTACTTCTTTGGATAGGGCCCCACATTCCGCACTTGCTCTTCTCCCTAAGGTCCTTTCTCTTGGTATAAAAGATTAACTACTCCCCCTTTATGTTACAAAACTTCTACCTTTACAGTTGTGCCAATTGCAATATAGTCATGATAACAATTACTCATTATTGGATCATAAGAATCTTACCCCATCTCCTCAGTTTGAGTTATGCCCCATCAGCTAATGAAGGTCCTGAAACTTTACTCCATTTGCATCATCACAGTCAAATCTACTTTGAAGAGGCAGTTCTTCCCCAGTCATACTTTGAGTGCCTTCCAACACTAGGGGCTCATCTTCTAACACTAAGTCTGACAATACTCTGGAGCTTTGTGACAGTGTTCTACTGCTATTTATAAGGTTTTCAGTGGTAAACATTCAGAAGTAGTTCGCCTCTCCCTCTTTCTCATCTGTCTCAGTCTGGAAGCTCAGCTGAAACCTTTCCACCATGGGTGTACCCTACTTAAATACTGGTGGCATAGCTTCCTGCATCACAGCACCACGCAAGCCACCATAACAAAACAAACTGACAGATGAGTGGTGGTTGAAAATTGTACAGAGCACACATTCTGCTCTGACACACACGGGATCACCATGAGTCAAAGCTGACTTAAGGGCAACTGGTTATGAATACACAAATGAATTACAATGATAGTAAGAAGTTAAGCCTTACATAGAAGGGAGAAGAAACTATATACACCGGTCTCTCTAAAAGCAGCTTTAAAATTAATGTGCCCACAAAGGAATAATATGAAAACTTCACAAATTTTGTCTCTACTTGATTCTAAACGATTTTAAGTGATTCCTATTAAGCAACACATCTTTAGCATCTTGTAC